CCTCCCTCCAACACCACCACGGAGCAAAGCTTTGCACAGGAATTTCTCTCATTTCTCTGGGATCTTCTTTCACTTGCACCTTTGTAGCTGACAGAGCAGCCTGACGCCTTGGCGAGGCGGAGGCTGGAGAGCTGTCAAACAGCCTCTGTAGGTTTATAAGGAATTTTCTGGTTTCACACAGCTATATCTAGGCAATCATCAAGTACCCAAGTTCCTGAAGAAAGACCAAGAATCTCCTGCTCTTTGAGCACAGTTTTGGTACACTGGCTTCAGCTCCATCCGTGTCACCAAGGGGCCACGGCAGGAGCTTGGCTGCACTGTCGCAGAGGCCGCGCTGCCCAGCTCACACTGTGGTGTTGGCAGGAGCCTCACAGGGAACAACACCCTTGGCACCTGGAGAGTTTTGGCCATGCTCTTGCCACCCCACATTCCACCAGCACCGCTCTCCCAGCGGAGATGCACCCCAGTTGCCACCCATCTCGGCACTGGTTTTGGCCAGGTCCCGCTCCCTGAAGCCATTGGCAGCAGTTGGGCTCCCTCCCACCAGGACTCGCACCACAGCAGGGCCTGCACTCAAGGAAGGCATCCATGGGAGCTCCTGTCCCCACAGGAGAGACTGCAGATCCCAACCACACCTGCAGCATGGGCCTAGTGCCAAGTCAGGAGCATCCTCATATGTTTCCTAGGTTTGCAAAGAGGATGGGATATATAAAATATGTATACAAGTAATTCTGGAGTGAAACTGCCTTTCATGGCTTCCATGGTCATTAAGATTTTGTCAAACTTAATGATTTTAAGGTTTTGGTTTTGCTGCTGGCTTTGATGTCCTATTACCTACAAGTCCGTAGTATCTTTTAACTTTTTTTTTCTAGACACATTTCAGAAAGTATTTCCCAGCTGTGCAAATGGCTGCCTTTCATACCCTCATAGTTCCTCCATAAAATGGATATTACATTCAGTTGGCTATATTTTGCCTCAGGGATCTGCTTTTAGTTATGTCCTGGACCAAGATTAATTTTGCAAAACTTTAGACAACTATTAGATAACTAAGTCTAAATGAGGTGTTTGGGCTCCTTTGTAGTCAAAAACAGAAGAGAATCTCATCCCAGCTTCGATTCCCTCCAGTCAGCTTGGACACTGCAGGGTGGAGCTCCCTGCCTTAGGACTTGTCCATGTTTCCGCATGGATATCAAAGACAGGAAGAGCAGCAGTGACTCGGGTAATCCTACCACCAGGTGTTGGAAGTTAGGGGAGACCACATCAGTTTTGATTGGTCTCTAAACTCAGTTTAAACTCAGTCTAGTTGTCTAAGAATTGTACATGTCACCAACATCCTTTTCCTGCACCAGAACCAAAAAAACCACTGTTTTCTTGATGCTAAGTTTTCTTTCTTGGAGGCATTTGCCAGTGTATACAGAGGATTCTGCATTCAAGCATTTGCCTTAACAACAAGCATCTCTTTTGCAATCCCCATACAATACTTGTTCAAAGCTAACTTGTCCAGGACTTTATTATATGCTTTGTAGAAAGATTTATGGGCGACATCACTAATTTCTATAAGGATGATATCACCAGTGCAATACAGTTGTCTTGGAGGAGGGGAGTTAGGTGGCTGCATGTTTTGGGGTAGAGGTTTTTATTTATGTATTCATTTATTATTACTATGGAGTTGGTACCAGAAAGGATTTTTCTTCTTTTTAGTTGCCCTTTGTAGTCTGCATGCCCCAAAGCTTTCTCTAGTATTGACTTGTCTGGCATTGTTATCTGTTCATATGTTCCTTCCTAGTCTTTTACGAACATTTTCCCATCCTTTCACACGCCCTATCCTCTTGTTACAAGGGCAGCTGCATTATCCCTCATCACTTACATAAACAAGTTCCCACTTATGCCTCAGATATTTTTGTTTACATGGAGGTGTTAAATTTGGGATAAAACAGGCTGCAAATTGCTTGAGTAGAATGTCTTAATTTTCCTCTCTGCTTCAGTGAGCTCATAACTAAAAACCCACAGTCTGAAAATATCCCAGATATTTTACTCAATGCATCCTAAAAACCAAGCCACTTCTCAGGTTGCAGCTGCTTAACCATATAGCACCACCAGCAAAGATCAAGTGCCTCAGCTCCATCCATCTTGCCCAACCTGTGCTACACTTTCTGCTTTTAAGTGCAAAGCAGCAGGTTTTCAGCCCTGCTCCTCACAAAAGCCAAAGTTAATTCTCTAGGTCTGATACCACCTCTGGCTCCAGACTCTAGAGGGAAAGTCAGACAAGGCAGGATGCACTGAGCTAGTTATTATTTCCCCCCATCCTTCCTGTAGTCAGAAGCAAGAAAGAGACAGAAACAATGAATTTTAAATGATTCAAATATTGTGATTAACAGGACTTCACGTGACTACAGCATGCTTCCATTTATCTGTGGCTATTTAATATTTCTAACTACAGTGACAGTGAGGGACTCTGCTGGGGTTTTAACCCTCTCCACACACAAGATCAGAGGCACAGGGCACCACAGCAGAATTCCCCAGCAATCAGTTGTTCTTCCCCAGCTTCCTCTGGGGCACAAATTAGGCTATCTTTAAATGTTAAATCACTGTCTAGATCTCACAGGACCCTCAAAAACATACCCACCTGCTCTTCTAACAGTGAAAGCTTGATACGTAGATATAATATATAGCAACACCCTGGCCTGCACTGGTAATTCCCCAACTTTTGGGGGCAATTCATTGGTGCAAAGGAAAGATCATCCTCTCTTATGAGAGCCAGGAGTAGAAATCTGTCTGTGGACCTCTTCAGTGGGTGAATTTAATCTGCTGTGCACTTAACACCTGTGACAACACCCCAGCCCAGGCCATCACACATGGCCCTTACCAAGGAACAAAGACCATTTATCCTTTAACTAAGGAAAACATTTTGACCGAACACAAATTTCTTCCTTTGTACCTCCTTTCATGTGTTTCACCATAAGTACTTCCTCTTTCATGCTGCTCTGAAAGACGGTTATGCCCACAACGCTGCAGAACTGTGCCAAAATCAGTGAAAACATTATGGTGTAGGTTATTAAAACAATGAAAATAGGCTAATGTAAGTTAAGCTCTTTTAGGGGGTTTGCTGGTTAATTACAGAACAAAGCAATTAATAGTTTGTTACAGCATCAGAAGCATCTCCAGAAGCACAAGAAAATTGCCTTCAATTTCAACTACATCTCAAGATGTTGCAAAGCCAGAGCACAGAGTGTACAGGAAAAATGTGTTGGAGCAAAAGCAATAGGAAGGGGTCTGGGAGGGCTCGTTGCAGCCCAGAACGAAGCCTTCCCCCTTCTAACCACTTGGAAAGACATACACACCCCAAGCAGCAAGTTCATCTCAGAAATGGGGTGACTAATGCTTTTCAGGGGGATCCCCCACTGCAGCCTGCCTCACCACCTCCAACACCTTCACACCAGCACGTGTGTCACAGCCCTGCACGCAGAGGAGCCCAGGGCTCAGGCGATGCTGAGGGTTATAAAGCTGCTTAGAGGTAAGGCCTACCGTAGAGCTCAGATTACAGATATTAACTCATCTTCTGTTATTCCTGAGAGAGAATAAAGTCATCAGGCAGGACCAGTTCAACCTTCATCACCAGCCTGCACTTCTCCCAGTGGGACCAAAAATACATTTCAAGCAACTCAGCAGGTTTGCACTAGCAAAGCTAGGCCTGCCAAAGACTAAAACTTATAACTAGGCTCCAGTTTTAGCCTTTCACTTAGGTTCTCTGACATACTGAGAACAACTCCAAATGGCGGCTTGCATACATGGCCTTCAATAAAGGCTCTCAACTGCTTGGCACTTTGGGAGGGCTTTCTTGAGGTTGCAAACATGGCTTTCCTAGTCCATCCTAGTTGGTTTGACATTGCTTTCACAGAAACAGAAGGATTTGAGCTTCCCCAACAGTTTATCCCATGCGAATCCCACCTCAATTCCTAAACCACAGTTCCAAGCAACTTTGGTTATACAACCTTTCTTGAAGTGAGCTCATCTTTCATGCCAATTTTGTATATGGCCTTGGCTGAAATAATCACATTATCTTTTTGACAGATTCATTTTCAAAGAAAAAAGTCCATGAGAGCACATACATAAAAACCAGACACAATAAAACAACTTTCCCAGCTGAATTACGTAGCACAGCGTCGATTACCTAGCCGTCTGATCGATAACCAAGATTACCAAGCTGCTTTATGTGACTTTGTTTTCTCAGAAGCCCAGATTTGTGCTAAGCGTGCAGAGCAGTGATGAGCCATAAACAAATAACACCACAAAGCGAGGCACTAAAACAGCCAGGTTTAAGATCCTTTCTTACTAGCTCAGTATCTCTGCAACACAACCGCAGAGCTGCAAGTCTTCATTCAGTTCACATTTGTTACTTCTGTTTTCCTCTCCTTGAGGTGGGAGATAGAGATGGAGAGAAGAAATGTGATCAATAAGGAAAATTCTCCCTAGCAGCAAAAACAGCTGACAGGCCGGCTTCCCAAACCTCACCAAAAATTACTTTGTGAGTAAAAGTAGCAGGAAAGAAGTCAACTTGCAGCACTCCTGGGAGAGCTGTTATTGACAGATACAAGGATGATATAATTGCCTCCGCTGCCAGGTTTTTCTTTTATCTCAGTAAAGCCCCTTTGGATGAAAAGATCAGAAAGACAGGTGTGAAAAGATAGCATAAAGCCTGTTCCTCACTTATTTACATAATTTTATATAAAGGAGCATTGATGTATGAAGTGTAGAACAAATGCATGAATACTGAAAATAAAGTATCACCGAAAACTTAGGCACAATCCCAGCAATAAGCAAACTTAATATTTGATGAAATACACTATGGCAGAAACGCAAGGATTTACAGAAAGTTGAATGTTTAAGTGCCCAGCATCACTTTTACAAGAACTCAGAGTTGCATCTCACATTTGTGCAACAGAGAAGCAAGTTAGTATCAACACCCAGCTGGGATACCTTCCTTAACGAAGCGCACAGATACCTGAAGCCCATTTTAACCCACGCGGGGCCACCTCTCACCGCAACACTGCCCGGGTGGTGCAGCCCTGTGGCCAGGCTTCTGACGAGCCCCGGCGCCTATGGCGTGAGTACCTGGGGGGATCCCCACCCCGTGTCTCCTAACACCGAGCTTTGGCAAGCCCCTTTGCCAAAGCCTACTATTTTTAAGGCTGGGAAGGTCTGGAAAGGTACAGCGTTATGTCTTCAAGAGAGGTGCCACATTTTAAGGGGTTCACAGGGGTTCCGAAAGTACTGGCTGACCAACTGTATTGGCATGGATAATACTTGGGCACAAAAAGGATGCTGAATGCCTTAACAGCAGGTTCTGCTTCCGAGCATTGCCCCTGGAGTGGAGTGTTGTGAGCAGCTATTTGTTCTGATTAACACAAAGATGAAATCAATATGGTAGAGTGGGCAAAAAGAGCCAATAATAAAAAAACAGAAGTCAAATTGCATCAGAGCTGTTCTTCACTTAATTATTATCAAAGAGCTTCCTCCAGGGTCTCCCTTCCACTGATGTTTCTCCTTGTTTGAAACCCTCAGGACCACCCGAAGGACGAGGACGCGGACTGCATCGTGCACAACGATGAACTGAGCACCAGCTACGAAGCACCGGCGCACACGGCAGCGCAGGACGCAGGGCCCCCACGGCCCCCTGGCCAGGAGGACATCCACGAAGGGGACCTCGGCCTGGGTGGGTTCAAGGTCCAGCTTGAACATGCTCCAGCTCAACCCCAGCTGAATTCATTGGCATGAATGGTGTAACTCGAGTGCAAGACACACAAGGAAAGAAAAGACAAAAAATCCTATCATGTAAATAAGAGGCTAGAGAAATGTACTAAGCACATCAATTGAAGAAAACAGTTGTACCAACACAACCTCTCTTCCCCACAGAAGACATTTAACAGCCATACACGTACAACAACATTCAGTTTTTTCGGGACAATTCTTATGAAAGATGTAGGGTACTGCCCTATAAATGCGTCAGCTGTATTGCCTCAAATGGTGCTCAACTGCATCATGGCCCTCCATCACACATGCAAACAGGTCTGAGCAGCTGATGCCTTCAACCAGCCGGGATGCAGAGGTACATGGTGGAGGCGCTCGCACGGCTTCCCACACTGCTGCTCGAGTCCATTCGCACATCGGCCCCACGAGTTTCCATAGACAGGAGCGAGTGGGTGGTAGCTCTCCTGCTTCCCAGGCACAAAGGTGGATCAAAGAACCCACACGCAAAGCAACAACAGAAACAATGCACACAAAAAGCACTCCAAGCAAAAACAAAATAGGTATCAATGCTAGGAGTGAAAGGACTTGAATTCAGGTTTCTTACTGCCTAAAGGTTTTTACAGCCCTAGGACTCCTTAGGAGCTCTCTCACACAACATTCCCAACATCAAGATTTTCTACAGCCATAACATAGGAAAGGGCCTCCTTTCCTGCCTCTGCTCAGTGGGATTTTGAAGCTGCACCTTCCACCTAATGAAAACACAGCAGCACCTAAGCCTGAAAACTAATCTTAAAGACACCTCCTGTGCTGAGGGGGTCCTGCTAGGCACAGATAAACCAAATCAGTGGAGAAAGAGGGGAAGAGGGTCAACAAGCAAGTGCACCTCTGACTTGATTTCACCACAGATGGAAGCTGAGATACAAACTTAAGTATAATCAACTTCCATCATTTTTCCCAGCTAATTAATTACTGGTTAGATATGATGCTAGAGCAGCCGCTTAAAGAAGAAATTTGAGCACTGGAGTTCTATATGCTGTTATAAAAGACCAGAAGCTTAAACTGGCATTTTATTTTCCCCCAAACACTAATCAAAACTTCAAAGGATCTTAGTCCCCATGTGCTGTTAAAAAAATCAGGCATAACAACAAGTCTGGAGGAGAAGTAATGACTTTCCAGCCTCCCCAGGCTTTGCAAGGCCTAGCTGTATGCAATGGGAAAGATGCATAAAGGGCTGCAAGGAGGAAGGGAGACAGGATGAGCAGGTTTGGTTTATGGTTATTTTACATTATATGGTGTTACTTTGCATCCTGCAGCACAGGACAGGAGATGGCAAAGACCACAGGCAGCAGTAGGACAAGCAGTTAGAGACACACACCCCAGTGAGGTGAAAACCTGGCAACAGAATGAGAAGGGAATTATCATAGGGATTAACACAGCTCATCTCAGTCCTCAAAAATATGAGGTAAATCTCACTCAGCCTTCCTTAGGAAGCCCATAGATGATAGTGAAATCAGTGGTCTGTCCCAGTATCATGAAGATGCTAAGCAGTTTTCCCACAGCTGCTACATGAACTGGAAATGACATGTTCTTCACCACAAGTTCTGCTCTAAAGTCTGCTCCAAAGCATATCCTGCAGCATTTGCCACGACATTTTTACTGTTTTATCTATTATGCCTAATGCTCAAATGTCTCAGGCTTGAGAAAAGTGATATATCGAGAGCTCTAGGGCCAATACTCAATATTGAAATAAAGAGTCAGCAACAAAAGCTCCACACAACCCTGTCCACTTGCCTTAAAGGCTCTTGCCTACATGGGAACTTGTTCTTCACATCCTCACAGGCAAGACCTTCGCACCAAGGATGGAAAGGAGCTGCACAGTATCTTAGCAAGATGTGTGTTCATCAGCAAGAAAAATATCACTGCTTTTGGAGAAAACCAGTGATCTGAGCTACAAGCAAACCTGAAACTGCTATTAAATAACAATAAAAGTCTCTATGATCCATTACATTATTCAGCTTTGCCATTTCCTATTTTTAAGATATTCTTTTCACAGCATATGATTCAGGAGAGCCAAAACAACATTAGAACAGAAAATGTATTTGTATTCAAGTAGGAATTACTGACAACTAGTAATTCTATACGACTGTTTAAACAAAGTAATGGATGTTAAGAGCAGCCTTTAATGTTAATTTACAGTTCATAGGCTGGAGATTTAAGCTACTTAATATCACACAGTGTTTGACTGAACATGCAAGTCACTCATGATAAATGGGAGGCTGTTCTTCCCATCTGACTTAATCTAATAAACTCATTTTCCAAGCAATGTCTTAAAACACACTGTCAGAGCATAGTAACTATATATAAAGGCCAAAATATTACAAATGATGGAAATTTATAACAACTGAAATATTACACTGGACTGCAAAGCGCTTTCTAACTACAGTCAGAAGCAGCAAGTGAAGCCTGGATACCCAGAGCAGCCAGCACACAAGTGACTGCACTAAAAATCTCAGGTTACAATGACATCTTTCCCAGAGAAGTGCAGCATCCGACAGCCTCGTGGAAAGCGTGGGCCATTAGAAGTAAACATTCACCCTGCTCTGGAAAAAGCTCAAGCTTTTCCACAATAACCACATTAGCACCAAGCCTGACAAAGCACTAGGCCTTACACATAACACCCAGCTGCTCAAGTAACCACACAGAAAACACCAGAACCACTCACACCACTCTCAGCTAGCAGCTTAGATAAGAGCCTTGCTACACTGAGGGTGTCCCCTAATCTCTACAACAGGATTTGCTTCCCCTTGGAAGACTGGTCTGTTATCAACAATCAAGTAATATTGAGTCTGAAGGGTCTCAAATCCCATGTACAAACATAAGTGCAGCAATACATATGAACACACCTCAAATGCACACTAGCTTTATACAGGTGCATTCAGAACTAGCCACCAGGCTGGAGAGCCCCTGGGATACAGGATTAATTGTGCACTTTAGAAAGCAAAGCAAATATCCTGAATAGCACTTTAGCAATGGAAATGTGCTTCCTCTGAAGACAAAGTTATTTTCCTCTGCTTCCTGCTAGTGAGATGGAAAACGGCCCTTTTCAACATCTTGCAGCGAACCACTTCAAAGCATTTTAAATAACTTAACACAAGCAAGCTCATCTCTGGCAACATAATCCCAACAGACATGAGTTCTGCTTGTTGAACTGTGAAAGACTTGTCAACATTTTTATTTCATAAACACTCTTTCAGAACTCAAAAAATCTCTAGTTGATCCAAATTTCCACAGCAAGCACTAAATTAACCCATGGTATTGATCCCAATACCAGATAATTTGCAGATCTAAAACCCCCTCCTTCCTATAGCTCAGTGATTAATTTTCCTAGTAGATATTACTATTTGAGAGAGAGAATTACACTAAACATCTGAACATGTTTATTTTGAATATTGTTTATATTTGATCATCCACTTATAACAGTGGATCATAATTGGACACCCGATTGGATGCCCAGCCCTGGATACCCAGGGCTCGGGATCCCGGTGCCGGCAGGGGATGCCCGGAACATGATCCGGTTGTTGTCCTATCCCATTCTCTGCTGCTGTGCACACCTGCCTGTGCACACACCGAGGCACGGGCAGATGGACATAAACCAAATACTGCCACTTCATCCAATACAGATTGCCACCTAGGAGAGCAGTGCTATGTTTAGTGACCTAAACGCAGAAAGAAACATCCTTCGTCCTGACAAGTTCCCCTGGCAAGTGCAAGGGCCCAGGCCAAAGCTGCAGTTTTAGAAGAAGGAATGAGAATCGGAAAGGACATGGATGCAATTTCCAGACTAACGTAGTTTAGGTGCTCTGCTAGAGTAATCCTAAACCACCTTCACCAACAATCATGTAATTTTACCTTCAAAGCCTGTAAGGAGTACTACCTACATATACTTGTAATCAAAGGCACATATTCCAACTAAATTTCCTAAGGAATAATCCTCTCACTACACCACAGGCGCTTTGCTCCCAGACACGTACAGCTATAAAACCTTGGAAACGTCACGTTTGTGCAGCCACCCCAAGGAACAAACTGCAAGGGCACATCTCTGCACACGCTGGGACCCACTCTGAACGGGTCTGCAGAAGCAACGTGAACACCACGTACACGCTCAAGCTGGTTATTCCCTAGGTACTTGACAGCACTTTCTATAATCATTTAAGATCTGGTTAGCAGGGTTTATTAAAGAAAACCAGATTTGGGTGCCCTTAATTAAAAGGGTCACAGCTCATTTCTGATTTAATGACTCATCTTCTAGAATTTTTTAATTGGTTGTAGCACAAGTATTGTCTAAATGACCTCAAACACTTAATATAAGTGTTTTATATAAAAACAAATGTCTGGGCAGTCTGAGACACAATGAGGGATGGACCCACTGCACCTTCAAGCCCAGGCCATCCTGGGGATGACATCTGGATGCTCAGAAATTCATTCAGGTATCCCCAACTTCACTGCACTGATAAAACATGCTAAGTGATTTCAGAAGTGATGAATACCCCGTTGTTCATGCTGGAGCCTCGTGCTGCATTCAGCCACAGGGAAATTAGTGCATAGGAAGTGCCAAAATGCTCTGTGCTCCCAGCAGGGCTTGGAAGTAAAACAAAAGCCCGACATTAAAACGCATCTTAATCTGATCAGCACAATCAACTCCCTACTCAAAGAACAGACCCACTTTCCAGCGCTGCATGACTCAGCCGCTGCCTAAGGAACCATCTGGAGGCCTGAGCAGGACTGACCCCCTCCAGGGGATAATAAGCAACAAGAGCTAAAGGTAGAGCTGCCCAGGGAGCTCCCTGGCACCCAGCTGAGCTTTGGGCAAGCGCATCCTTCGCCTGGCACCTCCAGCCCCAGAGCGAGGACACAGGGAGCCGCCTGCACCACTTCCAGGAGGGCCGGGATCTGCATGGAAGCCCTGGGCACGCAGCAGGAATTCCTCTTCTGTGGCTGCTCCAGCACACACCTGCAGCACAGTTCAACCTCCTGTGCATCGCAGCCTTAATTGACAGGGATTTTCTCTAAGCCTCAAAAACAGAAACAAATCCTTTTGGGCACAGCAAAGCGCACCTAGAGCCAGGGGATTCTGGTGAACACTGAGTGGTGCCTGCAGCTCTTGAATTTTTTTGAGTTTTTGACAACCAGGATTTACTCCTGTTGGGAGCCCTGGTTGGGACTCAGTTTGTTTAGACTAAGCTTTCACCATCTGCTCTCACAGGCCCTAAGAACATGGAGGGAATATGAGCAGATACACACACAGAAAAGCTCTGCAATTTATATGGAATACTGTGCACCACACAGAAAAAATAGCTCCTGGGATCCCTGAGGCTTCTCCTCCAGGCAGGAGCCGAGGACTGAAATGCTGAAGCTTCAGTTCTGCACCACAGTGAAACCATTCTGTGGATTACATGAATTTGCTGTCGAGCAGCTCTGCAGCATTAAATGAAGCCAAAACTAAGCAGGCTTATAAGATTTGCTAATTAGAGATAAACCAGCTAATTTCCCTAATACATTACCTACCTGCACATAGTCCATACAAAAATCATTGTGTGTTATCCTAGAAATTAATATCTCTGAATTACTAGAGTTAAGCTACCACTGCAGTAAGTTGAGCCATCGTCACATGAAGGTGGCAGCATCTGAACATGGA